AGGTTTTTTGTTGTTCCATATGAATCTCATCAACATTTTTTCTATTTCTTTGAAGAATGTCATTGAGATTTTTATTGGGATGGCATTAAGTCTGTATAATGCTTTTGGCAGGATGGCCATTTTAATGATGTTAATTCTCCCGATCCATGAGCAGGGGATGTCCATAAATAAATCTTTAAAAAATAATTTGCAACTCAACGGTATCAGAGTTCCCTTTTTACCTGCTATGTCTTCTGGTTCTCTGAATTTTAAAATTGCTCATTTTGTAAAGAAAAATGTGGGTTCTTATTCACATCTACCAGTGCCAAACATTGTGTTTGACATATAAATACTTAGCAAAACTGCTGAATGAATGAACTGTCAACTCACATTTATAGTTACTGTTAGTTTGCTCCTGAATTCCTCTCCCTTTCTGCCATTGTCCTAATTCAGGGTTCTAATCTGTGACGCTAAAGTGGTTTCAGGAGGTTCCACAAGGGTTCCTGTGCAGCCTTTTGCCTGAAAGTACATCAGCAAGAGCAAACACAGGAAGACTTTGGTTTCCTTTTCCTCTGTTTAGCCACATCATTCCTGTATGATATCATTTTGAAAAGGCCTCTTGTAATACTGTGTACTTGTTGAGTTTGGGGAGTGTGTTGTAAGGCACCATAAAGGGGCTCACAAAGCTGTGTCATTGCTCCTAGTGCAGTTCATGTTCATGCAGTAGAGTTAGGGAGATGAATTACCCTGGTGTGGCAGTGAATCGTGGCATTGGTTTCCTTTGTGTTTTATGGAAGTCACCCAAAGTGAAAAAAAATGCCTTAGTATTTAAGTTACTTCTCAAGCACACACTGGAATAAAAAATTACAGAAAGTTGACTGTCAAATAAATGCCATGGCAAGAAATACCTAGGAATTCAAAAGGGAGGGGAAATGATAAGTTACTTCCTATAGGGAAAGAGATTTCCTCCAGGGTTTGTGACTTAGTTATGTAAGGTTAGTTATAGTTCAAATGGCTGGCCATGATAATTGATCCATCAGATACAAGTCTACAAGAAACTGACTGGAGAGATTTTGTACCTTCTTGAATTAATATACTCTTCAAAGTTTATAATACAATTTACGTAAAATGCTTATTAACATATATTCCTAAGTTAATTTATAAATTTAATATCTTAAATGGGAATTCTCCAAGTTAGGCTGATTCTAAAATCCATAAAGAAAAATAAATTTAAATAGCTAGGAAAATTCTGAAAGAGAATAATAGTATAATAAAAATACTAATAATAAGAATACTACTACTAGTAGTAATAATAATAATAATAGCAGCCTTGTAGAGATTAACCCATATTATAAAGAGCTGCTGTGTATACCAGAACAAATAAGCCAATTATGGAAGAGTATTTAGGTATAAAAGCCATCCTTAATATATATGCATATTTGGATATTATTTATAAGTATCTACTTGCAGGGTTTCTACTTGAGGCTGGAGCTCAGTGATGGACAGAACTGATGTGGTCCCTGCCTTCTGTGCCATGAAGTCTGGTTGGGAGGCCAGGGTGAAACAAAAACATAAAATTTATTCTACATAGCTGTTAATGGGACTGGTGTTTACCACCTACGTGGTAGAGTGTTTAGGCTGCTTTTTGGGGCTTATTTCCTCCTCTCCAATCTCTCTGGAGGAAAGGATTGTGATATAGCCTGTAAATTCCAGAAGAGTGGAAAACTTTCCTTTGAATCTCATTGTATGTTAACATCACAGGGCTTGGATAATACAAAGATGTTGTCTGTCTTTATCTCATTCTCTGTGACAGAGTTTTGAAGAGAAACTTGCCCCAGAAGAACGTTTTTCTCCCTTGGATCTTTTAAACAAAATCCAAGAACAGAATGAAGAACTTGGACTGATTATTGATTTAACATATACTCACCGCTATTATGAACCAGAGGTAAATGGAAATCTATTTCGTTGGAAAGAATCTTCTTTTTTTTTGGTAATATTATAATTCACAATAATTGGTAATATTATAATTCACAATAATTCAGTAGTTATCTTCTGCTAGATTGAAGCTTGGTTTCTCAAGGGTTATTGTTCAAAAACAGAATCAAATGGTTTCCTTAATTATATTTAATTTTTAATTGTCTCAACATGACATCAAAGATACGAATTAAGCTATAATGTTTGATAACAGACCTTTTGACAAGACCATAGTAATCTCTGACACTTTCTTTGCTATTTGTATGGGAAAAAAATGTTATACATTCACCTTGTACATTTCCTGTCCCAGAACTGGGAAATTTCCTTAAAGAGCTTTTAATGGGAATGATATTTATAATCACTGCTAGCGGTGTTCACTGCTACTAGGCTGACGTTGTTTTTAACTTAGAAACTAAGAGCTAGGCATTTATTTTAATATAAGATACATAACATGCTCATACTGATTCTTTCATTTAAATTCACAGCTATAAGATTTTCACTTGATCTCTTCTTTTACTATTACCTAATTTTTCCCAGCCAAACAGTATCTGAATTTGTTATATCTCACAATTCAAATACAAGTTTTTCTGATTATTTACAGTTGCTTTATGGCCTTTGAATTACAGAATACTAATAGAATTATATAATTTTTATTTATATATGCATTTATTCACATGAACCTTTGTTTTCACTTTTATGTCTGTTGACAATCTGAAGTTTAACAAAAATCAAGTGATACTTCCTACTTGAAGCAAATAATCCATTTGAATTGCACACCTACTAAGTTTATTATGACCTCTTGGTTTATATTCTGGCTCCTTTAATGGATTTTTAATTCTTTCCCTACAAATGAAATAATACATATTTTCATGGTTTTGCTTTATAGGACTTACCAGAAACTATTCCTTATTTAAAAATTTTTACAGTTGGACATCAGGTGCCTGATGATGACACTATTTTAAAATTCAAACATGCCGTTAATAGGTTTTTGAAAGAAAATAAAGATAACGGTGAGGTGTTATTTTTTTTCCTTGTCTGAACTTTGGTATATATTTTGAATGGGGTTAGGGATTTTTAGATTTTTAATAATTCTGACATTAGGCCTGTGATGTTTAAAAATGTTAATATGGAAATGTCAGATCATCCTGATAGGGTTAGGTGTTGTTCTTATTTATAGCTGTACATAAACAATTTAGTTTGGAAAGTGATTTTAGTGAAAATGTGAACTGAACTAGCTCACATATCTTTTTTTGAAACTTGAATGAGAAATATACAATAAAATTATTTTGTCTTACTATTACTTTTTAATTTTATTAAGAGGTGAGAGGCGGAAGAAAAGATTAAGAATCTCAGGGTCTTAGAGTATATAAAAGAGCCAACAGAGGGCAAATGTTAAGAGTGAGACAAATCCCTAGAAACAAATAGAGTGAACCAATGAAATTGCATCCTCAAAATAGATATTTAAGATATTTTTGCTGCTTTTCCACTTTGGGTATATATAAAAAAGAAAGGACACTACCAGTTCTTAGTCTTCAGACAGAAAAAACTTTCGAAGGCTGGTGTTTTCTTATTGCTTTAAAATCTGCCTTGCTCTGTTGAGAACAGATCTTAATAGCTTCTGAATTTTAAGGATCCAGTTATTTTTTTTCTGGTATGCAGCTATCAGAAAGAATATAGTTTTTACTATATTTTAAGACTAAGGACTATCTTGTTTTTAGAAAGCCACTGACCCACAGAACAGAGTGCTCATTTTGTTGCCTGCTTTCTAAATTTAGTTTGAGGAATGTAGTCTTTATTAAATCTGACAGGTAGCAGATAGTCCACATATCATGTATGTACACACACATATTAGCACATATGTATGTGTGATTTATTACAGAAATACAGTGTGAAAGATGTAGAATTTATATGTTTATTTTAAACATTGAACAATATGTTCATTTATGTATCATTAAATTAAAGGTACTGTTCTAAGAAGTAGGAATAAAACAAGTTCTTGTCCTTATATCTTTATATTTTAATGGGAGAGAAAGAAAAAGAAATTAGGTGGACTGTCTGGTGATAATCACTTCAGAGAAGAACCAAATAGGTCATTACAGAAGTAGGTGAGGTCATCAGAGAAGTCTTCTCTATTGAGGTGGGCCTTATTTGAGCAGGACTTTCGAGAAACTGAGAGACCAAGCCATTTGGATATGGTCATCAGGGGGAGTGTTCCAAAGCAGCAGGAACAGCAGCTGCAAATTCCCTGAGGCACAACTATGCCCAGCATGTTTGAGGAATAGCAAGGAGGCCATTGTGTCTAGGTCAGCAAATTCAGTCAGAGTAAAGTAGAAAAAGGAATCTGAGAGGTTGGCAATAGATCATATCATGTGGTCCTTGTAAATTATAATTCAGGTCATCGTGGACTTAATAAGGTTGGAAAGACAGATTGGTATATATGTATAGAGTTCTAAATGCTGTGCTTACAATTTGGACTTCTGTGCTACCTGAAGATTTTTAAGCAAGAGCAAACTTTGTGTGTTAGTAAGATAACATTTTCCATATGGAGGATTAAATGAATTAGACTTCATCCAGTGCTTGTGACTTACATATCTAAGATTAATTATAATTAAAATGGCTGGCCATGATAATTGAACCATCAGGTACAAGCCTGCAAATAGGGAGGTAGTAATCAAGGCAAGAGATGGGGAGTGCCTTCTAGACAGTGCCTTCTTACCTAGTTACAGGTAGATTTTGTGGAGATCAAATATACTTTTTTTTTTTAAGTTTCTCATATATTTTTAAAATGATGAACTAACATCATCTATGGCATAGTTAGAAATATCTTAGACTTGATTCTAGTCTTTCTTCTGTTTGCCTGCTCTTTAGTGTGGGCTTACAGCTCCATATCTTGCTTCTTTAATGTAAAATACAGTTTTACCCAAGTACTTCACAGATCTCATGAGAAATAACAAGAGATTGGAAGCACTCTGGGAATTTTAAGAGTATTATAGAATTTAATTCTTGTTAATACTCACTATTAAATGTGTAGCTTTCCATTTGTTTCATTAGGAAACAAATTTCATTGTTTTTATAGCTCCCTTTTTCTATATTTAAATCTATTACCCATATTGACGGGCACTCTATGTTAAGACAAGTCAGTTTCTCTCAGCGCAATTTTCGCAGTTTCTATCTGGCCCTGCCTTTTCCGGTTTACACATAAGGCATAATGGGGGAGAGAATGAATTTTTATTTTATGTTGGATAATTCTGTATATGTGTTACTTTAAAAACACAGTTCTCTTTATAGTTACTTATTTTCAGGGAGGGTAATGTAGTATTTAATAAATGTTTCTCTTCAGAAAATTAATAGATTTTAGTGTGCCCACTTAACTCTGTGTTCCTGTTTTATAGACAAACTTATTGGTGTCCATTGTACCCATGGTTTAAACAGAACTGGCTACCTCATTTGCAGGTGAGTTGCCAACTTCAAGTGACAGGCCATATTTAAATTATCTTTTTACAGTTGTAAACTAGTTGCAAAATCAATAAAGTGTGAAGTAGAAAGCAAATCTCTTCATACTACCCACTCAGAGATTACCACCATTAATAATTTAGTGCCTACTTTTTCAGACTTTAAAAATGCAGATATAAGCATATATATATATATATATATATATACACATATATACACACACACACATACATATATACACATATACATATATACACATCTATATAATTTAATGGTAGATATTTTGTTTTATAATTTATATAGTGGACTTCTTTCAATGAAAGTGAGATCTCATTCTTTTTTAAAAGTAGCACTGTTCCTTTGCTTGTTAGTAAGTATAAAAGTTAGAACGGTTTGATATTAAAAGACAGTGAAGTCATTAATTTTCTTGTATGAACATGTTTGAATACACTTGGTTGTCTTGGAGATCATTTCACTCAGAATGGAATTTCTGAATCAAAGCATATATATACTCTTATGCCTTTATGGATTTCTACACTGTACTGATTCATAATTGTTCATTCAGAAAATATTTATTGAGCATCTGTTATGTGTAAGCACTGTACTGGGTACTAGCAGAGATACTTGTGAATACTGCCAGTCCAGAAAGGGAATAGATATTTAAGAATCACACAAATGCATTTAGAATTACAACTCTGAAAAATGTCACAAAAGAGACAGTACTATGTATCTAAATTAATAGACTTTGACCTCATTGTGGAAATTAGAGATTTCTGTAGGGATGTTTGAGCTGATAACTTAAAGATGAGTAGGTGTTAATTAGTTAGATACATTTAAGAGGGAATATGGAACCAGAGATATGGGTAGGAGTTAGATCATATTGGCCTATGTTTCAAGTCTTAGACTTTATCTTAAAAGCAACAGGGCACCATTAAGCTTTTTGTTGTTTTTGATTGTATATGGAATATAATAAAATTTGCATTTTTAATCTATTGTTTTGGAGACTGTATAGGAGGAAAGAGTAGAGAGATAAGTTAGTAGACTAGTGAAAACTGAGGCACAATGGTGGCTTGCACCAGGGTGTGGTGGTTATTTTGGTGGAATTATTGGAACATATTCTAGACTTTTAGGTAATATATTGTTAGAAAAACGGTGGTGAGTTGAAGATAAGAGTAAGGAAGAAATTACAACAGTGATATGATATTAATATTTCTTTTGCTATTCGTTGGTTCCTGATAAATATTTTGCCATGTTAAATCCGTTTTTCGTATACAAAGCAATTTGCTCAAAAATGACTTTTTTTTTGATTGTTCTATCTTACCTGATTTTTTTTAAACATCTGCTAATTTGGTTTTGGTTCTGTATTTTCTTTTTCACATATTAATTGAATTGTATTAATATAAATAACTACATTAACCGATTTTCTAAAATTGTATCATCTTTGTGTCCTTGTAATAGAGGCTTTTTTTGTGGTTGTGTTAAATCATTCTTTAAAAATTGTTGGACTAGATGTCCTGATATTTTCTGAGGATTTTTATGTCTGTATTTGTAAGATTGGACCTTTTTTTAAAAAAAAAATCTTGATTTTTTGGGTTATGTATAAATGACTCAAATTATGTTGTTCATTAGATATTTGATTGATGTAGAAGGCATGAGGCCAGATGATGCAATTGAATGTAAGTATGAGGGTTTGTCACTATTTTTCCTATTTATCAAAGTTTAAGGTGAAACTGAAAACATTTCTCAAATTTTGAAAGAAAAAAAAAAGCTTGTTGTTCCTTTATCTCTTTTTGTTAAGACTTATTTATGCATACAAGAACTGGGGTACAGGCCAGAGGTGCATGAGGCGGGGGTAAGAGGACTCACCAGAGACAGGGTGAGGAGCAGAACAGGCAGATGTACTGAAATACACTGCTGAGGGGAGTAACAGGTGAGACAGGAGAGATCTGCTGTGCCATATGGATCACCTCCCTGGCTGGGGATCAGCTTGGTTTTGTTTGAATATAAGATAATCTTTTGCCAAAAGTTTGTAAAGTATATGTATATGAAAAGAGTGAGCTAGCTAGCACAACCCGAATAATTAGTCTAGTCCAATGGTTTCTAGCTTTGATCTGCTTTCTATAAGAAAAGTTTGCTTTTTGTAGTTATTTTTAATAGTTCATACACTCCTCAGTATTCAATAGGTGCCGGGGACATTGCTTAGAAAGACAAAACTACATTGAAGACCTTCAGAATGGTCCCATCAGAAAGTAAGTTGCATTATAGATGCGAGATTTGTGGTTAGGGGAATCTTTTTTTATATATTTAAGTTGAATATATCTATTTTTCTTGTAACATATTTACTTGCTGGGGAAGCCTAAATTAATGGGAATGGGGAGAGGATGGGATTATTTTCATGGACTAAATATAGTCACTAAATTGTTAAATTTGGAAATGAATTAATATGTGGAAACATTCTCTTTGAGGAATCGGAATTCCAGTAGATCCAGATCAAGTAACTTTAAAGACTCAACACATATGATGGAAACAGTCCATACCAGGCATAAGTCTGTTAAACAAGGATCAAGGAATCACCTGCATCGGACCCACGGTTATGCAGTAACTCCTCATCATTTCCACACTCATACCCAAGCTTTGCAGCAGTCAGTAAGGTATTTCTTCTTTTTTCTAGAATAGAAATAGAAGTTAATACTGTAAGTTAATATTATAAAATAAATGTTATAAATTAACATACATTATATCATAATACACATAAATACAGCTTTATAAGTTAGTGCAAAATGGATGATGGTAATTATGAGGAGCTGATATTCTGGTGATCAGTTTCAACTAAGAGATATCATCTGCTCTCTATTTTGCATATAGGGCTGAAAAATTAAATATAGGATGGGGAATATGAGACTTTTCAAAAGTAATTGGGAACAGATTTAGAAAAATTTGGTTCTAAACTTAAGTTAGTAATTTGATATGACTACCAAAAAGGATTTTGTATTCTTAAGCTACAATTTTAGGAATAAGGAAGGTTGCCATACTAAGCTACTTATTCAATGTTTGCTACATAATAAGGAGTTTGAGAAATATGTTGAGTGATTGAATATAGTGCTTTCTATACTTTGAAGTATTTCCTTGGATTTAACATGAAATTAACAAATATGTGCATTTATATGGTCATTAAAGTTGTGTTCCAAAGGTCTATACCAATTTTAAGTGCCACTGTCAACACAAGCAATTTTTTTGAGATATGTGCATCTTTGAAAAGTGGCCGCATTTAAAAAAAATCTTTAAAATATGCTAATGTATTTTATTAAATCATTTAACAGTCCATCTGACTGTTAAAAAAAATAGAAATTTAGAAAGCTAAATATCTTACTCAAGAGCACGCACACAGCAAAGAATGACAGAGCCAGGCTGCAAATCTGGGTCCAGTCTGTCAACCACTGTACTAGACTGCCTTATCAAAACTGTTGCTAAATTGGCAAACAATTGCTATTTTAACTGTACTGAGGTTATTCCCATTTCTAAATGAAAATATTTTGTGAATATAGCTCTTAAAATTTTGTGCATTATTTCTTTAATGGAATATACTTTTCCCTAAAATTTGTCTTCATTTCCAAAACAACCCATGAAACTTTAAGGTATTGTTAGCTCCATTTTATAAAGAAATAAGGAATTCAAATATTAAGCAGCTTATCTGCTAAGCTCAGATAGAAAGCAGCATGAGAATATCTAATACTTTATGAAGTTTACTATGTATTTTCTTATGATTAATAACAGTTTGTTTTGTTTAAGACAATTTCCATGGAATCAGAACATTTACCAGGGAAGCTATATTCCTCCTCCTCCGCCTGGTCCCCCTGGAGAGGACTTTTCACATCAGAGATACTCTTGGAATGTAATGCCAAACACCAGTCAAGCAGCCCAGAATAAAAGATGCCCTGACAGTTATTATAGACTACCCTATCCAACCTATTATGGATGGACTGAGTGACAAAATCTTCCCTGGAGATCTTTCTGGAACTGAACAGGACTGAAGACAGTTGGAGTGATTTTTTTGTAAGATGAAGGTTTACAATCCGTAAATTGTTCCCTTACGTGTTCAAGCTTAAATAAAAATTATATTGGTACTTCTTTACTGACAGATTTATAGTAGTTACAACAGTGAAGGAGATATCTGCTGTTCTAGTCTTAAATTTTTTTAAAGGAAGATATTTTAGAACTGATAAGAGTAATACTTCCCCTGTAAATTATTGTTCAAAGTTCTGTCTTCTTTTTCTATGTATCTCCATCTGAATAGACTTGTGATATGAGTGAATGTATATACACTTGTATTGTTTTTGTCATATTCTGTTGACCCAATCAACAGTATCTTTTTCCTCAACTATATAAAACTTTTATTAAAGTACCTAGGAGACAGTATATTTAAAGTCTAGTCACTCCTTGCATTTTTGTGATATTTCTTTCCTTTATCAATCAGTCTGTTGTGAGATTTGACCAGCTTCCTTTAACTGAATTGCCAGATAGGCTATTTAACACAGGGGTAGTGAGTAAACATTTAAGCTTGATTAACTGGACAAGAGAGACTGACTGATAAGTCAGAATACTGGATAATTTACCTGACAAGGTAATTAGCAGCTGGCTAGAATTATTCAGTAAAACTTGAAAACTTTTATATACTATAAGGATTGCTTGTTAAATATGACATTTAAAGCCTGGGATATTTGGGAAGACTTCATGGCTCCTATGTTATTGCTTCTCTACTGAATGTAACCTGCTGGAATTTTTATCTTCTTGCATCTCATAGCAGAGTGGTGCCTTGATTTTGACTTTTTTAAAGTTTTCCCTTCTGATGTTTCAGTGTGCTAGAACTTGGGAATGTTTGTTACATGTCATTGCAGAAGTCAGAAACTTTTGTTTGCTCTACCATCTTGACACATTGGTAGATATTTGTGGAATATTTGAGCAGTGTGACTTCATTTTCTAAAGCCTGTGATTTTGAGGATTTGTATCACAGAATGTCTGTTAGTACATGTGATAGTTATTTTCTCTTTTCTGTATGAACAACATGTGGAACCAGACCCAAGGAAGTGCTCCTAGCTCAGTCACTCCCTGCTCTGTATCTAGCTCACTCATGCTGCTACCTTTCACCCAAGTGATGGCTTATGATGTTTCCCGGTCTGCTAAAGGCTAGTTTTGTGGAATTGTTCCCCAGGATATATCGCAAAGGCTCACTTGGAAAGAAATTGGGCAAGACAACTGATGAAGCAACAATGAACAAGCAGAAGCAGGTAGGGGATCCTGATAGTTCAGTGATTTCTAAGGAATTCCTTGGCAAGCAGTTTCTAAGAAGACATTGCCAACATAAGTGCCATCATAGAAGCACTGCCATCTTGAGAACTTTTTTTTAAAGATTTATACATACAAGAACTGGAATACAGGCCAGAGGTGTGGGATGGAGAGTGAGAGGATTCACCAGAGACAGAGCTGGGAGCAGAACAGGCAGATTGACAAAGTACACTGCTGAGGGGAGCAGTCGGCAAGATAGGAGAGGTCTGCAGTGCCATGTGTGTCAGCTCCCTGCCCGGGGATCAAACTTGTGCTGCAGTAGCTGCGGACAGCTTCACAGTGCTGTGCTTTTAACCCCTTGTGCCACCCAGGAGGCCCCCTGAAAACTTTTTTTAAGATTTATTTATGCATCCAGAACTGGGGTATAGGCCAGAGGTGCAGGTGTGGTGAGAGGATTTAACCAGAGATAGAGTGGGGAGCAGAACAGGCAGATCCATGAAGTACACTGCTGAGGGGAGCAGCGGGTGGGTCAGGAGAGGTCTGCCACGCCATGTGAGTCACCTCCAGGGTAGGTGGGGATCAAACTCATGTTGAAGTGGCTTTAGCTTCTTAGTGCTGTGCTTTAACCTACTGTGCCACCACGGAGGTCCCCTGAAAACGTTTTAAAACATTCTTTCATTGTTGAAATTCCAAGTGTTTCTCGAGAGGAAATTTAGGTAACATCTTCCACATTACAGAACGTTGTCCAGTACTCACTGAGCTTGTTTTAGATGACGGCTGAGACTTCAGCTCAGAAAACTGCTTTGTGTGTTTGAATGATTCTAACTCGTAGTCATTGGCTCAAAAACATCAAATATGCATCTATTGAAAATTCAAATCTGTTCCATCTACTGTTTCCTGCTCATCAGTTTCATGTCTCTGTTCATCTCATTTTGTTAGGCTCCTCAAGTGTTTTCTGTTCACTCATTTAAAATTCTGCAATATCTATTCTGTTCTTTCGTGACTTATGATGCAGCTTTAAATTCCACTACTATACTGATTTTTCTCAAATATTGTACTTTATTTGGTTTTGTTCATTGTAAAGATCTTTTCAAAACTAACTCTTTTCCTAGATATTACGACCCTCCATTTTGTGCTGTAAAATCTTTTCACAGATGTCCTACTGAGTGTTTTTTGTTTACATATACTTAAGAGAGGAATGGTCTCCCATAACCTGGCTTCCCCTAGAGTGGGAGTATTCTTTCATCTCCTCACAGTCCATCTGCTTGCTCTTAAAAATATTCTCTTAAGCTAGAAAAATTTTATTTTTTAAAAGTTTATTTTTACATCATTTTGTGCCTTTTTCCATCTCAGTTGCAATCCCCGTGGGCTTCCCATCACCAAATTACCTGTGTGCCATAACTTTGTTGTACCAGTTCATTGAAACAGCATGAGCCATGGGTTGCTCCTCCATTCCCAGCAGCAGAAGTGATTGTGAGAGCAGTAGACTTCTATCTGCCCAGTCTGTCCTCACCATTATATTGTTTGTTTCAACATATTCTCTCTTCTCTCATCCTGTTTGTTGCTGCCTGCCTATCATGTTTGGGGTACTCTTGAAATATCCAAAGATCTTTGTCCATCTTTGCATCATTGAAGCACTCAAAGCTAATGGAAGCTCTGGTCGTGCTATGGTGGTGGCCTTATAAAAAGGCTGTTTTTTGTTTACCTTCCCCCTGCTGTACACATTTAGGTTTTAAATTACCGTTTTTGAATTCTTTAGTGGTATCTCTCATAAACCAATTGTTATGGCACCATTCTTACTGGGTTTTTTTTTGTTTGTTTTAAGATTTTTAAAATTGTATATATGCGTAAGAACTGGGGTACAGGTCAGAGATGCAGGGAGTGAGAGGGTTCACCAAAGACAGAGTGGGGAGCAAAACAGGCAGATTAACTGAAATACACTGCTGAGGACAGCAGTGGGCAGAACAGGAGAGGTCTGCCACGCCATGTGGGTCACCTCCCTGGCCGGGAATTAAACTTGTGCTGCATCAGCTTCGAGAAGCTTCATAGTACTACTCTTTAACTTGTTGCACCACCAGGGAGGGCCCTCTCTTACTAGTTTTAATCTTTAAAAATATACTGTCATTTTGATGAGTTTTGGGTGGACTAGAGATGCAGGCCTGAGTTCTGCACAGCCAGTGGAACGATACTCTTATTGCCAGTTAAAACTGGATTTGGAGTTTATCCTCAGCCCAATAAACTTACTTTTATACATCATGTCCCAGAAATGTAGGCCATCAAGTACCCCAAGTCATAATTTGATCTTCCACTGTTAACCACAACACTTATACTATGAAGAGTGATCCCACCCAGGATCTCTGAACCACTTTTAATCTAACACCTCTAACAACTGCCCTAGAATTGTATCTTGAAAACAATTTACTGGAGTTAATCCCCTCTTGGAAATCTTGAATGGCTTATGCCTTTCAAATCCATTTGTAACTCTTTGTCAAAGCCTTCTGCCTTCTGCAACCTGAGTCCCCTGAAGTACACTTCATTCCTTTGTGTACCAGGCATCTGCTGAGTATATGGTGGGTGTGCATTTTTACGCCTCCCACTCTCAAGTTGTTCCCTTGGTTGTGGGAGCAAATCATTTTCAGTTCAGTTCCATTACAGTAACCCCCAAGCCCTTTACTGAACTAATCCTTTTCCTACAGGATACCTTTTTTCACTCTTTAGTATTTATTTCATTTACATCTACAGTAATATGAAAACACATTCTAAGAAAGTCTTAGCCCCCTTTTGTGAAAGCACCATCAGCCTCTTGGACCACATTCTCCCTCTCTGCCTAGCCAGCAAACCTTACTGCATTTCTTCAAGCTATATAGAGCTCAGGTTAAGCTCGGTCTACCTGACCCTTGGGCCCAAGTTCTCTTCTCAATCATCCTGCACTTTAGAATTGATTAAAGTGTTTGGACTACAGGCCATGTATTCCGGCTGGACTGGCCATTGGAAGGGTTAAGATGGTCAGAAGTATGGAGGAGTCTTTCCATGGGGGGAGTCTCAATGGAATACAGAAGACTTGAATAAAGTTTTCTACTCTGCTTAATTATCTATAAAGTCTGTCAATTTCTTTTTACGGCTTCCTGGGACAGACCCTAATGTGTTCCAAAGACTAAATTAACAGCGCCCACCAGTTTCATGAAGCTTAAGAAAAAAGGCTGACAACGTCCTGTCACCTGTGACGTGCCGCGGTAAAAAGCCGCTAGAAAAGTGTCCGTGCAGGACAGGAACTGCCGAATGTCAAGCTGCGGGGAAGTAGGCAGAACTCATCTTGGTCAGCACTTGCGGTTGCACAGAAGACGCAAAACACGTTAAGAAGGTCAACACTGGAAGCCAGACCTCAGCTTCTGCCCGCGGACCCAGGCTCCTTTCCGCTTCCACCGCCGGAAGTGACCGCGGGAGGTCCTACTTCCATTCTCATCCGCCGACCTGACTCCTGGAAGAAATAAACTTCCTGAATTTGAGGGTTTGTTTCCGAGGGGAAGCTCTTCAAAACGGACCGGAACTCGACCTTGCGTGCTCCAAGCTCACCAGCTAGCTGGACCTGGCTGGGCCGGGTGGTACTGAGAGGGAGAACTGGAGGTGAGGGGCCAAGCTGTTAAACTAGAAACTGTCCAAGCCCCGGCCGCTGCGATCACGTTGTTAGACGATGTCAGTGGTTCCCGCCGGCCTTGTTATCAAGCGCCTTCGGAAGCCAGGTTCTGGAAATAGACCAGGGAAACAGTATACGGTTTAGTGAGCATACAGGAGACTGATAAGCAAGGGACTCAGGAATGTTGTGGTGGGGCCGACGAAGGATCTAGTGCAGGGCCTCTGAGCTTGGGAGCCGAGGAGGCATCCGTTCACAGCCGATGAATCATTGCAGAGCAGGAATTGCGAGACCTCCACGTTTAAGATGCCGCTACTGTGATGAGATGTGGCACCGGGCAGAGAGAGAAGTTGGCGGTCAGAATGCTAGTTAGGAGGTAAAGTTGCTAAGAATTTATGGACTAGATGTGGTATAAGAGATTGGTGTTCAGTGATGATTATGAGATTATGAGCCAAAATGAGTGGGTTATGTAAAAACATTTTTGACTTTTATTAAAGGTCCTTTCCCCATTCTAAGACCCAAAACCAAAGTTTTTTTCTTCCCTGGTTTTGGGTACTCGCTGTAGAAAATTCAGAACATAAACACTCAAAAATACTTTGTGTAAAGAACAGTAAAAACTATAATTCTACCCCAAATGGCCATATTTTGGTAGATATCCTTCATGTTAGGTTTTCTGTAATTAGGAACCTATTCATTATTTTTCGTCTTTTACCCATCTGACATTATCAGGACAATGAAGACTGAGCTGCTGTGTGCTAGGACATTACTTTGATCCCCCCCCCCCCATTGTAGCAGCACAATATAGGTGTGATTCCACCAAGTCAGAGAGAACTTTTTGGGGAAAAAAAAGGTTTTTTTCCTTTCGGTATCTGTGTGTGTGTGCACTTTTTAAAAAAAAAACAACATTTTGACCACATTTTATGCTTTCTTTTCAATCAGATGTTTTCATGTAGTGTTATTTATTGCTTTTTTCATATATCCTTACCTACTCTTCAAGGCTACAGTTTTTAATGTTTTTTAAAATCTACCAATACTGGTTAGATTGGTGGTTTTCAACAGTTTACTGTTAAGAGTAATGACAGGACATCTTATTTTTAAGTCCTTGGAATTCCAATAATTTCTTTAGGAAGTGTTCTAGAAGTGGAACCAGCCAACTAAATGGATAAAATGAGCCTATCATATTTCCTCACCTAAATAGCTTAGGTCTTTTGTATTCTGCCCTTGTTAAACTTACAACTAAGAAATGGCCAATATTAAGTGATTATTTAATAATTACCGCCTCTGTTTAAATTCCATGTGTGAATATCTGAGTCAAAGGTCATACTTTCTTCTATAAAACCATTTTCTTCTTTAATATCTGTGTCTATATCCTGCTAAAATATAAATAAAATGTGGAGATTGGAAAGCTTGAAAGCCTGAATTGGAGTGAGGTTTCAGTTAGCTGTGGTCTAAAAGAATTACAGAAATTCTACTCCAAGTTCTCTGTTGGGGAAGCTCTCTGTCAGCCATACACAAGCAAGGGACCAGTCAGCAGCCTTGATCCTTTCCCAGGAAAGGCAAAGGAAACTGCAGACAGCAGGGGTAGGGAGACATCCCATGAGGATGTCAAATGTGCCTTTGGGATGAAATTTTCTAGTTTAACACGTTGGCCATTTTATTATGTTATTTTAATTTATTGAATTGTTAGGGAGGATATTTGTTAACTTTTAATCAAAATAAATCTTTCTTTCTAGTTTGTGCAATAGAATCCTGCTTATCAATGAAATGCAGCTAACTCATCAGCTGGACCTATTTCCTGAATGCAGGGTGACCCTTCTGTTATTTAAAGATGTAAAAAATGCTGGAGATTTGAGAAAAAGAGTCATGGAAGGTACTATTGATGGTTCATTAATAAACCCTAGAATGGTAAGTACAAAGGGAGAATGAATAAACTATAGGGGCATTTAGAAATGTTAGTTTTTCATGATATTATTGGTTAGCCAAAAATTGTCATCAGATAAATAGTCTTACCTAAACAGTGGAATGGAGTCAGATTTATTCAACCTTGAATTTAACTGAATAGAAACTGAAGTACGTAGCTTTCCTCTAGGAAATGTGAAATGTCATGTTTTAACTCTAACATAATGGTATATGCCTGCATCTCTACCTTTTGATCTGAATTTGAAGTTGTAAGCACACCCAATGAGATCACGTGTCGTTCATCCCTGTTCTGCTACTTACTATGGCTTGAAGCTAATGGTTGACAACTTTTATAGACTGCTCCTGGCACTTACAAATATCTTACATATTCTAACTCAGTCTTCACAAGAACCCTGCAAAAAGTGCTATGACTATCTTCATGTAACAGATAAAACCCTAAGTAATTTTCCCAGGTAACTTTGGTGGTGAATATCAGAGCCGAGACTCAAACTAAGACATTCTGTGCATTAGTTCCTCATCTATTACATGTGAATAATTAAACCAAGTTCATATGGTAGATCTGAGGAATGATAAAGGTAAAATGTTTAGAACATGGCCTTATCCATAATATTAGACCTTGATAAATGTTTTTTAACCCCCCCCCCCCATTTCATATAGCTTTTAAATTCTGTGGTTTTTCTGAACACCTAGGCCATTGAGGTAATAATTTTGAAAAAACGAGAGAGAGATAATAATTTTGAAAATGTAGGCCATAGAATTATGGTGAAGTAAAACAGTCTGACACTGGAATTACCTTGAGAGAGGACATGTATCTTCAGAATGCTCCAGATTATCTGTGTGTAATTATTTTTTTGTTCTCTTTGGTAGATTGTCGACCCATTTCAGATACTTGTGGCAGCAAATAAAGCAGTTCACCTCTACAAACTGGGAAAAATGAAAACAAGAACTCTATCTACTGAAATTATTTTCAACCTTTCCCCAAATAATAATGTAATTGATACAGACTTAGTTTATTTCTGTAGATCTTATCATGGTAGCATGTGTGTTCCTCAGTGTTGTGTTGGAGACTAAATTCTTTTTTTTTTAAGATTTATTTATTTGTGCATACAGAACTGTGATACAATCCAGAGGTGCAGGGGCGGTGAGAGGATTCACCAGAGACAGAGTGAGGAGCAGAACAGGCAGATGGACAAAGTACACTGCTGAGGGGAGCAGCAGACGGGTCAGGAGAGAGGTCTGCCACACCATCCAGGGCAGGTGGGGGATCGAACTCATGCGAAACCCACTGCGCCACCAGGGAGGGCCAGAGACTAAGTTAAGTCTTTTGTTGGTGACAAACCAAAATGTGAAGAAAGCCCTAGACAGATTTGAGTTTTTTACCACTGCCTTTTTACTTAGGCAAACAAATAAGCTTTGGAGTCAGTTTCTAGCATGAGTAAACAAAATTACAGCCAAGTTAAGTGAGGACAGTTAAATTAACTGCTGTGTTTTTCTTGTCACATAGGATGCAGAAGGCATTCTTTGCTTCAATATTTTAACCTAATGATCGAAGTCTTGCTCTTAAATAATAATTAGACATAGGTATTTGTGTGTTATCATGTGCATTTTTTACTTTCCTATAAACTCCTCGAAGTTAGAGTCCATATCTTTTCCATATACCAGAATCCTGCCTGGGACAAACCTAGAACAGCTTTTTAACACATGGCTCATTCACATACACAGTGAATAGGAAGTTTGTTGTTTGTAGTTTGGTATCTTTGATTGGTTGTACTTTGGCAATCAAAGTTGAGTTAGTGACATTCCATATGTGGCACATAAGAAAAAAATAATTGGGGCGTCCCTGGTGGCACAGGGGTTTGAGTCTCAGCACTGTGAAGTTACGTGCAGCCACCGCAGCACGAGTTTGATCCCTGGCCAGGGAGGTGACCCACATGGCACCAGCGACCTCTCCTGTCTTGCCCACTGCTCCCCTTCGCAGTATATTTCAGTCCATCTGCCTGTTCTGCTCCCACTCTGGTGAATTCTCTCACACACACCCCCACCCCACACTTCTGGCCTGTTCCCCAATTTTTATATGCATAAATAGTCTTTTTAAAAAAAAGAAAAAAATAACAAACCTTTCTGATGGTTTTAGTTACTATTTCTATCAATTACTATTAATGACACTACCAAGTAATAGTGCAAGAGAAAAATTAGGAAAACTTGTAGCATGGTTTAAAATACAGGTGTTTGAAAAGTTTATAAAATGCACAGTAATAGAATTTAGTACCTGAAATTTTTTTTCCCAGATAATTATTTCTTTGAGATCATTTGAAATAATTCAAGAAACCAATCTTGAGCTTGTCCAAGTTCCCATTATAGTTTGAAGAGCAGAAGAAAAAATATGTTCTTGAGGAAACAGAGGAACAAGATAAAAGTTCAAATGCCTTAAACTAAATGATAATAGGAATAATAATTCAAATCTATGGCAACAGTGAAAAAATGCATTCTGTAGGGAGTGAGGGTACAGTGGGGCATGGCACTTGAACTGGAAGGATGAAGGCACTAAAGGCAGAGGTCAGAGTAGAAGGATGGGCCAGAAGTGTGACGTGACAGGATGGACACGCCAGTCCAGACTGGCTGGGAGGTGGGAGCACGTGACTTGGTCTCTTGGGGCCCGGGGAATGGTGTACCATGTCAACAAGTCTCAGCCATAGGAATAAGGTGCAGCTTAGAGCCAGAAGTACTCTAAAGACAGAACTGGGAGATGTTAAGAGGGAATGATGGAAAAGAAGAGCTGTAAGCTGAGAGAACTGTTCGGATACGAGAAATAAGACCCTGACTAGGGAAGAAAGCAAATGGAGAGAGATTTCAGATACAGGAACTACCAGTTCATTGTCTTTATTTCCTCCTTAGATTTCAGAAGCTTTGAAAAAGTTTGGTATCTCAGCAAATGATACTTCAATTCTAATTGTTTATGTTGAAGAGGGAGAAAAGCAGATAAATCAGGAATACCTCATCTCTCAAGTAGAAGGTCATCAGGTTTCCCTGAAAGACCTTCCTGAAATAACAAATATTACAGATGTCAAGAAGGTTTGTAAATCCATATTTTTAGAAAGTGATAAACCATTGACTAATGGTTGCTTTGCTTAAAAATCACCAGTGCTCTTTTTTAAACTTTATAAAGGTTAATATAATTTGAAGCATAGATCCAAATTTATATAAAAATAATTAGAAACTTAACAAAAACATTCTTCACTTTAATGAAGAATAGTAACCCTTAAAAAGTACATTTAAAATGTAAAGTAAATTTGGTATGAAGTTAATGTCTAGATATGTGCTAGAAACACATTTGGTTTCTATGGTTAGATGTCACCATAACTGCAATTTAAATGGAACTTTGGACATAAATGATGAATTCTCATTACTTTACACATTTTAGTCACAGTTGTAATTTTATACCACTTCCCCCACTCATTGGTTGGTAAATGATTATATTTATACACACTTGCATAACAAACTTATTAATCTGTATATACTAACATGTCATAATTTGTCTTTTGCAGATATATAAATTATCTTCACAAGAAGAAAGTATTGGAACATTACTGGATGGTATCATTTGTAGAATGTCAACAAAAGATGTTTTATGAAATGACAGAAACGTCAACAAAAACTTTTAAGCATTTACAAAAAATTTGATTTCCCTCTCCTGATTATAAAGTTAATAGATATCTCTATTATAATGGCATTATCATAAATGTGTAGAAAGCTGAAACTTCACTGTGATTAGGGTTCAGAGTTAGATCTGTGCTCCCAGTGGCATCATCACCCTATCTTTTTGTGCCATTACTAAAACATGTTCTTTTCGTCTGTGTGTAGCATTACTTATTCCACATTTTTGTTACTTTAAAATGTTCATTTTTGCACATTTCCACTTCTTTAGGATAGTTTCTATATTATTGGGCAAGAGGTCATGAATTTACAGTCTTCTAATATGATGAGTCTTTGCACTCCCAATAGTAGCACAGAACTGCTAGCCACAGAGCTAGCTAGTACACGCTAGCTCACCAGCAGTGCTGCTTTTAACAGACATATTTGCCACTTTGAAAAGTTGGGCTACTGGGGAAGGTGAATTCGTAGTTCTTTGTATGTTAAAAAAAGTGGTTTTAAAATGTATTATTGGGCCCTCGATGGTGGCGCAACTGATTAGAGCACAGCACTATGAAGATGGCCGCAGCCACTGCAGCAGGAAGGAGTTCAGTTCCCAGCCAGGGAGGTGACCACATGGCACGGCAGACCTCTCCTGACCTGCTCACTGCTCCCCTCAGCAGTGTACTTCATCAATTTGCCTATTCTGCTCCCCACTCTCTGATGAATCCTCTCACCACCTCTGGCCTGTACCCCAGTTCTGTATGCATAGATAGATAAATCTTAAAAAAAAAAAATAAAGTTTGGTTAGAGAACATTTCTCTAGAGTGGGTCAGTTACCCTAGAATTTCTGAACATCTTACCAAGGATGACCTATCTTTCTACCTTAATTCCATTGCCATTGTTTCTTTCACTCATCAGTAATGAGTTCTCAGTGGAAGTCCAGGGCACTGACATGAATTTGGGTTATTAGGAACCCTGAGGAGAAGTTAGGGGATATGACCCCTTGCTTAAGCAATTCCAGAAGCTTAAATGTCCTGAATTTCTCTTCTCTTACTGAGATTTCCAAGACAATGCCTATTTAGACTGCCCTCTCGTTGGTATTGCGTGGTCTGTAGGTGAACGTTCTTCATAGATGGCAAGCATTTGTCTACATGTGCTCTCAAATCTCACAACTCTTGAAGCAGTGACTCAAAACATAACCTACTACAGCCAGCTTCCTCCGGGCAATAGAAAGTTGAGTAAAATAATCACAGTACTTGAGACTAACGTCTAGTTTAACAATTACTTGTTAAGTAAGTAACAGCAATAAGTACGTAGAATTGCCAAGCATCACAAGGGTAGGCATGGGGGGACATATAAGGTCTGTGTGGTTGGGAGAGGTCAGAAATAATGATGGTGAAAGTAGGACTGAATTGGATCTTGAAAAATTAACAGCGCTTTAGTCACATAGTGGAACTCGGGCCTAAGTATGGCCTGACCATTGGCAATAGGATGGATGATGGGGTTCAGGGAGTGAATCTTAACCCATCAGACAGAGTTGGTTCTCCGCATATGGTACTTTACACTGCGCCAAATACTTACCAGACAGCTGCCCACAGAGTCAGCATGTGATACTGAAAAAAGCAAAACATACAGGCCTGGGAATCAGAACTGCTTACACTTGAGTTCCCACTCAGCCATGCCCTGAGAGGTCTTGGGTAAGCTATCTCAGCTTCTCTGGGCTTTAGTGGGGACAGTAATACCAACATTAGAGTTTGGGATGTTGTGGATATAAAATAGTACAGCATAGGGAAATCTCAGTTTCACAGTGCCAGACATTTCATTTCTCTGAATAATTTTCTGGTGGAGCTATCCCCTGTATGTACCAGGCAGCAGTGCCGAAGCAGATAAAAGAAAATAGATTCATTGCTAGTGGAATGTTAAAACAGTACAATCACTGGACAAGAGTTTAGCAGCTCTCCAAAATATAAAACAGAATTGCTGTGTGACCCAGCCATCCCACTTTTAGGACTATACCTCAAAGAAATGAAAATGGTGTTTAAACAACTACTTGCACTGGAATGTTCAAGCAGCAATATTCATAACGGCCACTAGGTGGCGAAGCCTAAATGTTTGTTGAGTGGGTAAACGTACAGGTAGATACACAATGGAATCTCAATCAGCCACAAAAGCAACTTGCTAAAACATTGGTGAACTCTGACATGCCATGTGACAATATAAAATGAAAGAAGCACGCAAATAGCATGGCTCCATTTCAATGAGACATTAGGGATAGACAAAACCATGGAAAACAATCCGTGGTTGCAGGGAGCTGGGGGTGTGAGGGGAATGGAGCAATGGTTTCATGGGTAAGGAGTTTCCTTATGGGATAATGAAAATGCTTTGGAACTAAACAAGAGGTGGTGGCTGCACAAAAATGTCAGTGTAGTAAGTGCCATTGGGTTACACACATTAAAACGGTTAACCGAAAGACTAAAATAACACACCTGCTTGACCTTTAGGAGTTCATAGTGGTTGCTGTGTCCTTTTAGACTCACAGTCACCTGTAGCAGAGCCAGGAGCTTCCCAAGCCTCAATTTCATCATCTGAAAGCGGGGATAAGAGCCTGGAGTGGGCTAAGTCCTACCGACATCATCTTTTACAAGAGAATCACCGATAATACCTCTATCTACAGATACTTAAGTGGTGAAACCACTTAAGACTTTTTACTCTGCAGTGCTAATGTATGTGTACATTATATTATGTTTTCTAAATGGAATTAAACCATATATATTAAATTACCTATATGTTGATAACTTTTAATATCAATAAATACTTACAACTATTATGCATGACTGGGGAAAGATTAAAAAAAGGTTGATTGTAAACTGAAGTCACAGTGTTTTGAGGAAGCCACAGAAGCCCATGAGAATACAGAGGAAGAGGGTGGGGACAGACCACAGAGATCTTCTTACACTTCACCTGGGCTATTAGGTTTCTGCCTGGGTAACGTTAGATTCAGTAGGGACACTCAACTGAACTTCGGAGTTGAGTTCTTTTTTGATTCATATTTTAAATTTTTCAAAATAGGGCCTGGTGCCTTAGGGATTGACATGTCAGTGCTATCACCACTACAACCTAAATCCAATCCCCAGCCAGTAGCTAATCCACTGGTGCAGAAGACCTCTCCTGTCCTGCTTACTGCTCCCCTCAGCAGTGTGTTTCAGCAGATCCACCTGCTCTGCTCCCACTTTGTCTCAGGTGAATCCTCTCACTCCCCCCGCACATCTGGCCTACACGCCAGGTCTTCTATATACACACAAGAAAGGTAACTGAAGGTTTACAAAATAAACTTCTCAAAACATTGCAGTATTTAAAGAAAATATTAAAATGTACTGAAAATAATGTAATAAACACCTACGGGCTCACTACACAGGTTTCATGTTAGTTAGAAACTTGTCCTGGTGGTGTGTAGTTTGGTTGTATGCAAAAGATCCAGGCCCCATCGTGTATTGTTTCAGATTAGGAAGACTGCAGGATGGCACCTCTTCGGGAGTACTCGTGATTGACATGTCACGTCTGGTCGTAACAGATACTCTTGCCAGAACACTGACCATCGTAGTGACCCCTTCCTTGTCTACATTAAACGTGACTAGCTGCTGACAACCTGCAGCCGGACCAGGGCTCCCCATTTCATCAGACACCTGCTCCAACTACCCCTTTCTCCTGTGGGACCTCTGCAGGCTCAGGTGGCCCAGCTCAACAGAACAAAGCAAAAGCTTTGTTCACAGATGCCGTCCATAGGATGCACAGATTAGTGGGCAGCACTGCCTGGACAACAAAGAAATAGGTGGCCTTTTCTTGGGTCAGAGAAATCGTGTACCAGGGCTCACATTTGGTGGCTAGACTGCAGTACACACTGCCACCCTGCTCAGCGAAGCATCAACAGTGAGCGCTCCGTAAATGTGACTTAGAGGTCCCACTTTGTTATACTATCTTCTGGAGGTGTAAGGATATCTGCTTCCATTTTCGAAATGGAGTCAGAGTAATATACAGCCAAGTCATAAACACACATTCACACACCATAAAACACACCTCCAACCTTAACTGTTCCTCCCCACCTTACAGCACATCAAAGGCCAGCTGAGCTCTTGGAACACAGTCCAAACTCCTCAATCTGGACCACAGGCCCTGTGTGGCCAGGGTTCTGCCACCCTCATCATCCTCCCTCACCACAGACAATTGCCATCTGTCCTGAAAGCCTTGTCTTTGGCCTGCCTCAGGGACTGCTCTCCTCCGATCTCTCGACCTGAAACCCTGCCCCTCACGCTGCCCAGCTCAGGCTGCCTCCCCTCTGGTCTCTGCTGCACACACCCCCAGAGGCTCCCACTACTCACTGGAGCACAGGTGCTTACATGGTGCCGGCCCCAAACAGCACATAAATGACACACACACAAGCTAGATTCTGATGCTACTTGCCTCAAAGAGCTATGAGAAAACAGAGCTAGGGACTGAGATGGTCTGAGAGGACCTGGGAAAGGGTTCAAGGACATTTCTGGAAGCTGCCCCTTCGCTAGCACATATCAACTCCAGGAGAAGCATCACCCTGTCTGTTTTGTCTGTACTTGTCTTATTACTGCGACATCTCAGTGAAAAATCGTTCACAATTGCTCAGGCACAGCTGTGGCCACGGCCAGAACCCACAGCAGTAGCACACAGTCCAGGTGCCCATGAGCTGAGCGTCAGTGGAGCTTGTCCTGAAATGCCCCG